CCCAAGCTGGCCTTGAACTCATGGTAATCCTCCTGCCTCTGCCTTCGAGTGCTGGGACTACATGTATGTGCTACCTCAGCAGTCCTCCTACGGTCTTGACTGCTTCTTTTGTCAAGGGCACAAACAGCCAATGACCAAGGAGGTGGTGAGGGGTCAGCTTCTTGCTGCACCAGGACCCGGCTTCCTGGTAACAGCCCCACCCCATATGCAGATAAAACCTGGCCAGAGAGCCTCAAGAAGTAAGTCAGTACTGTGGGGCCTGTCCTGGGAAGTGAGTCAGAGGAGGCTGTCGCTCCCTTGCCGCTCTCAGGGTGGCCACCTGTTCTGAGTGTCTGACTGGACAGCGGGGCCATACCCAGGCCCTACCTCCCTGGGTGACCAGGCCTCTGTCTGAGTGGTGGCATTTATTTATTTATTTAGTTTTTGGAAGAAGAATTGCTTTTATTATTTTTAATTTATTGAAAATAGAAATTCAGTCTTTACTTCTAGGACTACCATGGATCAGGGGACGATGCCCATCTCCCTCACTAAATGGTGTAGAACCTTGTCCCATTGGTCCTGTCCAGAAGCCGTGTGGAAGTGTATGGAGTACATGTGTGGGACATTTGCTCAAAGAGAAGTCGTAAGTTTTGTGCCCCTTGTCACAGTGACCCTAAACTCCTGTTGGGTGTGTTGTAAACATGAGCTGTGGCATTTAATGGGGCCTCATTTACCAGTTGTCACTGATTGTTTCTGCCTGCTTAACCTCTGGCCTCCCTCAGGGACTCTCATCCCCAGCAACCATAAAGTCAGTTTCCTTTCCCTGACAGGATCTTGCCCCAATCAGGCGGAGGCCTTGCAGGATCTCTCAACTTCCCTCCCATCCATTTCCTCTTCTTCCTAAACCACCTTGCAAGTGTTGGCTAAAGTCCCGGTCATAAATTTCCATTTATTATGGGAAAAAGTGTTAGGCTTTTTCTGGCAGAGGAGTGAAGAGACTCGAAAGATAAAAGAGGCTTTTATTGGCTCCTCTGACCCGACACAATGGAAGGCTGAGACTTCATGGACTTTTACAATGGTGGAGTTTGAGGGGCAGTTTCAGTGACACATAAGGAACTGACTGGGGGCTCCCTTGTGCGTGGGGAGGAAAGGTATCCAGGACTGGGGAAGAAGGAGGACGTGGTCATCAGGAAGATAAGCTGTTGTTTTTAGGTTTCAGCCGTATTAGATGACCATCATAATAATTCAGCAATTTATACTCAAGCCAGAGCCTATCAAAAAGGTGTTACAGTTACAAACCCCAGGCAAGGGTGTAGGGTGTATAGCTCAGTGGTGGCCGGGTTAGCATGCTCAGGGCTCTGGATTCAATCCCTAGCAACTCCCCACAATATAAATCTCTCTCTCTCTCTCTCTCTCTCTCTCTCTCTCTCTCTCTCTCTCTCTCCCTCCCTCTCTTTCTCTCTCACACACACATACAATTCATGCACAGACTAGCTCAAGAACCTTGTTATGGTTTATTTAGCTCTAGAACAACCAGCAGTGCTGCTGGAGGTACAGCTCAATGGCTCAGTGCCTGCCTGGCAAGTGTTGTAGGCCGCTGAGTTACATAGCAATGTTGTAGACAGTCAGACAGGGCCAGGCCCTCAGAAGGAGCCAGTACAGTAGGCAAGATACCTCCCAATTCAGAGACAGACACTCCTGCTGTGGGCCAGGCCTCAAGACAAAAGATCAAACACATGCATACCTGCCT